CATCCATTCCTAATTTCTGTCAAGATGATGAGGGGAAGCTGCCTCCTTGTATTGCTATTTGATCGAGATGTTAAGAAGGGAGATCCAGGATTTTGAGCCAGTGACCGAGAAGGAACGATTATAAAGTTCCAAGTCATGTTGGCGTGTGGTTTGGAGGAAAACGTGCAAGTCATACATCTGTTGCCCATGTTCTTCTTGGTGGTCGAGGCTGTTAGTTTGGATGATGCCATTGAAGAAGTTGTCACAGTGTATCTTGCATGTTTTACATAATGCTGCCTCTATGCATTATTGTTGAAGGGAGTGCATGTTTAATTTGGTGGGGAGCTGATCAAGCAGAATACTCTATTTAGGATAGTGCTAAGCATCTTGAGTGTTATTGGGAGTCACACCTATTCAAGCAAGTGGGGAGTATTCCATCTCACTCCTCACTTGTGCCTTGTAGATGGTGGACAGGCTTTACAGATTCAGCAGGTGAATAATTAATCTTAGGATTGCCAAGCTCTCATCTGGTCTTGTAGCCATAGTATTTATATGGCTTTAGGTATTAATCAATGGCAACAGCAAGGAAGTTGATAATGGAAGATGCAACAGTATCCTTGCCTTCCCAGCTCATGCAACCTTACATCATGATGCCTTCATCCTCCTCCTTAAATAAATTGTCTGTGTACCATCTGCACTCTGCACTTTCCTTCTGTTTTTGCCAGTTCAAATCTCACTTACACACAACGTCCTGTCCAGCATGCAACATGCAATGACCTTTCGGAGATTCTGTTTAGTGTACACCAAAGGACACCTCTAGATCTGATGGGACACTTGAATCACTCTTGTTTAGTCCAGGATGCAGGGATTGCCAAATGATTGCAAACTGTATCTTTGAGAAGCCAGTCAGATTTACTGGCTGAATCAAACAAGTCAACAGTCATGTCTGTGGGCTGCTAACTGGGACGTTCTGCAAATGTCTTTGGAAAAGCCCTGGTGAGATTTGGCGGCAAAAGCATTGAAGACTATGTTGATTTTGACAGCCACAGTCTGGCCACTAGTTCTGCTAGTCACTCTGCAGATATCTTCCACCAGCTGATGTAACAACCTGTGCATCTTGAAGCAGTGCTGTTCCAATATGTCAAGAGAACCTAGCCTCTGCCTATGTTTCCTTTGTATAACTTAGTGACTCTGATGAACTGCAGCCCTTTGTTGCTGTCCAGCTGCATGGTTTACATCAGTAGGCTTGTATAGTCATATTGTTCCTCACCTGAAGTCCTGGTCAGTGCATTGAGTATAGGAGTTGGGAGGTCATGTTGCGGCTGTACAGGACATTGCTTGGGCCGCTAGTGGAACACCGCGTACAATTCTGGTCTCCCTGCAATAGGAAGGATGTTGTGAAACTTGAAAGGATTCAGAAAAGATTTACAAGGGTGTTGCCAGGGATGGAGGGTTTGAGCTATAGGGAGAGGCTGAAAAGACATTTAAGAGGCATCTGGATAGGTATATGAGTAGGAAGGGTTTAGAGGGATATGGGCCAATGCTGGAAAATGGGACTAGATTAATTTAGGATATCTGGTCAGCACGGACAAGTTGGACCGAAGGGTCCGTTTCTTTGCCGTCTATCTCTATGACTCTAAATCTATGTGATTGCAGTATTTCTAATTTATCCTGGAGTAATAGGTGGACAATACTCATTACAAATTCACAACATAGTTACAGTACTTCAAAATACCTTAGAACTTAAAGGATTTCAATAAACGTGGTCTCAGTTAGGACCCAGATCTTCTCTCAGGCAGTTTCTCTGTTTCAACTAACTCTTCAGTCCCCAGTAAGCTTAAGCTCAAATATAGTTACATAGATTGGAGAATTGACTAACAATCAAACACTCATCAGTCAAACCATTGAACACTACCTTTTTTCCCTTTTTAACTCGAGACATTATTTTCAATAAAGTAATTTCTTAGAGTTCAACTTGTTTGTTTTCTCCAAGTATAATAATTGTCCTTAAGATACAAATTTTGTAATTTACTTCATAAATTTGACATTCTAGTTCTGTCTGATCAATCAGATGAAGCAGATTAGCAACATCACTGAAGAAAGGGAAATGTATCCACATAATCAAGTGTTCCTTTAGGCCCTTCTTCTGACTAAATGTTTACATTGTGTGTTTCAATATGAATCTTTAATCCATCAGTCATGCTGAAAATTTTGTCATCGTTGAGACCTGTTAGAGGTGCTCAACTGTGCTGTTCAAATGTGCACACTCACTGTTCTTTTACTAGCAAAATTCTACTCAACATTGATGAAATTTCTCCTTTTGTCCAGTATGTATATTAATCAAAGTGGGGGTGTCACAAAGGCTTTATCACATAAATAGTTTTTGGAAGTTATTCACAGTTGTGCATTAATAGATATATCAGCAGGGGAAATGGAATCCAAATGAAAATCACACCCTCCTCCTCACATTGGAATTGTCTCTCGTCTTGAATGTGTCTTTTTGTGGTGCTTGTATATATTTGTGGACTGTTCCTTTTGGGATGGGATACAAGTGCTGTGCTTCACTCTTAAGAAGCAACTCTTCCATGCATTGAACTGAAGAAGTCCTCTTCTTCAATGACCTGCCCATCCTTTCAAAATGCTTCCACTTAGAGCATGAGTGTGACATTTTCTCTTGCATTGGACATAACATTGTGACTTCATGAGTATTTACACAGTTTCAGCAAAGTGCTACAGTACACGTTGATGAGATTGCTGCTATCTCCCTGTCCATCACCCTTGTACTTGAGCTAGGTGGCTAAGTTCTGTCTGCAATTCTGAGTGGAAGTGTGCATTGCTGTGTAACCTCTACAAATCTAACATGGCAGTTTCAATTCAGACAATCAAGGGTAGGCTTGTTTCTAAAGTTAGATTATCTTGCATGAGATGTTTTGAATTACAGCCTTTTCAATTAATTGATCACAAATGATCTAATTTGCTGGTGTACCAAATTTATATCGGGAGCATCCCAGCTGCTACTGAGTGTTGGTGGTGAAGCGAGTGAACGTTTGTGGTTTGATTGGCACAAGATCCACAGGCATCCACTCCATCCACCATCAACACTCAGTAGCGGCAGTCTGAAATATCTACAAGATGCACTGCAGAAATTCACCAAAGGTCCACAGACAGCACCTTCCATACCAATGAACACCTCCATCTAGAAGGACTAGGACAACAAATACATGGGAACACTACCACCTGCAAGTTCCCCTCTAAGCCATCACCATCCTGATAGAAATATATCGCCTTTCCTTCATTGTCACTGAGTCAAGATTCTGGAATTCCCTCCCTAAGGGTATTGTGGGTCTACCTGCCGCAAATGGATTGCAGCGGCTCCAGAAAGCAGCTCACCACTCACTTCTCCAGCACAACTAGGGATGGGCAATAAATGCTAGCCAGCCAGCAACACCCACATCCCACAAGTGAATTAAAATAAAAGGGAAACAGCTGCAACACTGCTGCATACTGTTTCATAGGTTCACTATTTACCAGGGACTTCTGACGGAATGTATATTGTTTGATCATTACACTTTTCTTTGGCTTGAACTATTTTTTGAGAGCAGTTACTACTCTGCAAATGGTTGCATCTTTGGTGAGCTGTTTTATTCTTTGGCATTCTGCTCCAAAACAATGCACAAGTATCACGTTTTTTTACACCTAGTTGCCACATCAGACTATCCATTCCTGTGGTGAGTGAGCAAATCTTGAACCCTGAAATCCAATGATATAGGAAATCTTCTAACAAAGAGGCAAGTACTTCTGGAGCTGGCAAATTAACTTATTCTCAACTGTCCTTGTCACCAATTTTTGTTATGCATTCACCAGTTTGCTCGTATCTTACATCTAATTTCTCTCAGAACAGTGTAGAGATGATATTAGTTTCAAATCAAAAACAGATTTATTAAGAGTACTTTAAGATGTCTCAGATCTTACAGGATTTCAACACATGGCCTCAGCTGGAACCCAGTTCTTGTCCACTTTTAAATTAACTTTCTGAAATCAAGATTACATAGATTAGAGAACCAATTAGTATAATAAAGCACCAGATCAGCCACACTGCTGTAGGTTAAAATTCTTCCTAAAGCATGCCATAATTCCAATAAAAGAATGAAGGGACAAGAAAGCGGTAGACATAGAACTCTTTCACACATAGTTTAGAAGTGGTAAAAAAGCTGAGCATCATTTGCAATGCTCAATACTTTTGACCAAATAAGGATTCGCACTATAAATCCTGGGATCAATAACACATTTGAATCATCAATAACTTTTAAGAATACTTCTAAATAATTTAGTAATTATTACAAATGTACATCATGCTAGATAGCAGGGAGAATTTCCTGCTTTTTCTCGAGTAGTGCCGTAGAATTCATTATATTCACGTTGGTTTAATATCTTTTCTGAAAGTCAGCATCTTTGAAAGCAGCCCTCCCTTAGTACTGCTCTGAACTGTGAGCCTATGTTGTGTGCTTAAACCTATAATCGAGTTTGAGATATCCAACCTAAGCTGAATAAAATATTCTGGCATATGGGCAGGAATTCCATATCCTGAAAAGTTATGGGGTAACAAAGTGCACTAAGAATGATAGGATAGGTTAACTCCTGACTTAAATCAATCCCTTTTTTTACAATCCAGTTGTATTAACAGAAATCAGAAATATCCTGAAACGAGTACATAATAAAAATGTATGCTTCTACAAAGAGATTTGCCTTTTGTAACCACAGCAATGAACTTTGATAATACATTGCAACTTGATTATTTATTATGCAGTTTGCCACAAGAATGGTTAGTACATAGTCCCAATTTCTATCTTTGATAGTTACAACATCAGGTTTAAGCAATTCTCAAGCACCTAGTGAAACTTATCCCAGCCACTTTTGTTACATAGTGTAGCATGCTCTGAGACGAGCAACCACAGCATTACAAAGTGACCATTAGTCTGCAAACTAATGCTGCAAATAAAAAGACACAAAAGGCGGCTTACCAGCTTGATTAGTGATTATGGTGAGAATAGCATACTGCCTGGGAATCGTGCTCTCATTGGAGACTCCATTCACTGACTCAATCTCAAATGTGTAATTCATGTGGGCAAGAAAGTCAACAACAGTCACTGAAGTATTTGTCAAGCCTGTGTTGCGAGGTACAAAACGCATGCCTCCTCCACAGAGCGAGCACTTCTTAGGGCCTAAGCCACACATCTTACAGATGACATTGTAGGTGAGATCTTTCCGTCCCCCTGTATCAACTGGTGGACTCCACTCAAGGATTAGCGATGAGTCATTAATGTTGAAAATGACATTTCGAGGGGTGGAAGGAGGTCCTGGGGGTAGAAAAAAGGAACACAGAGTGTTAAACCTCTCTAGCTGCATCATTTTCCTAACAATTATAGTTGGTTAAATCAATCAAATGTCGATCTCTGTGCTTTCAGGATCCTTTAGAATTATGCTGTATAATAATATCTAACAAGAGTTGGAGGCTACCATGTCATCTTGTACCTTTAAATCACACCGAGGATATAATATTGACTTGCCAAAACAGTTCTGGGACTATGTTACATGCTTGACCTTTTCTGGCTGTGATATCACCAATCCAACATTTTTATACAGAAGTATGCATTAATTCCAAAGCAGCTTTAGTCCACAATTTCCTCTTCTTTCTTCAATGTACAACTGTGAAAAGTTGTCACTAAAGACTTGTGTGGATCGTGTTGAATGATGCATTTGCTGTATCTGCCCTCAATATAGATTTCAGCCTTTAAGTAGAAATGTTTTATTTCGTGCGAACATGTGGATTAGGAACAGGAGTGTTTGGCCCGTCAATCCTGCTCCATCAGTTGTTTAGATCACCGGTTGATTAGATTATGGCCTTAACTCTACTTTTCCATAGAACCCACCATTCCCCACTCCCACCACCCTTTGACTCCTGTGTAAATCTACAGTCTACCAGATTCAGCCTTAGAAATAGTCAATAACACACCTCCACCGATTTCAGCTGAAGAGAATTCCACAGACCAAAGACCCTCTGAGAAATAAAATATCCTCGTCTTCATCACAAATTGAAGAAAGCTTATTTTTAAACTAGTCTGGCCCAGGAGAGGAAACATTCTTTCAGCATTTACCCTATTAAGTCCCAATCATGGTCGTATATGTTCCAATAAGATTAACTCTCATTCTTCTAAACCCCGATGGATACAGGTCCAAACTGTTCAACCTTTCCTCATCAGTCAACCTCTTCATCCCAGGACTCAAGCTCCGCAAAACTGCTTCTAATGCAATTATTTCCTTCCTATTAAAAAGAGACTATAACTGTACACAGTACCCCAGTTGCAGATTTACCAAAGCCCTATAAAACTGTATTAAATCTTCTGCACTTTTATATTCCATTTCCTTGCCATAAACAACTTTCCAAATCAGTATGAACTGGCAAAAGAGAAACATTATGTATTAAGGTACAATGGTTAGACAGATTGAAATACAACAATTGCAATTTAAAATTAAGTAGTGGGATGGCTGGTTTCTTTAAAACAAAACTTTCTTCTTTTATAATTCAGAAATTAGTTCAATTCCAATCCAGAAGGAAGAACTGCTCCTCCTCCTATGCTAATGATCCAAAAATGGATGGAGCTCATACAGTTAGGGTTCAACTCCTGTGGATATTATTCAAGAAAATAACACATTCCTTTTATGCTCTTTACTGTAATTTGTTCTTAATTTGCAATTATGTACGTAACTACTTTGATTCAAAAGTCAAGTTGCAAGAATTCTGCTCCTTCAGACTCTGAGAATTGATTCAAATTAATGTCATGCTCTATTGATGCAAGTTTCTGATCAAATTCTTTCATATTAATTGTCAACATATATATTTGAGTAAAAACTGTGTCACAGAAAATAGCAAATCCCATACAAGATAATGCTGAATAATAAGTTATGCAAATTTAATCAATAGTGCTGTCCATTCCACAACCATCAACACTGCCACCCCTCTCCACGGCATCTTCCCATGTAACCGCAGAGGGTGCAACACCTGCCCCTTCACCTCCTCCCTGCTCACCATCCAAGGGCCTAAACAGTCTTTGCAGGTGAAGCAACATTTCACCTGTACCTCCTCCAATCCTGTGTATCATATTCGATGCACACAATGTGGCCTACTCTACATTGGAGAAACCAAAAGCAGATTTGTTTGTGTGCCAACTGGAGGAACAACATCTCATCTTCAGACTAGGCACTTTACAGCCTCCTGAACTGAGTATTGAGTTCAACACCTTTAAACTGTGAACATTTTCTTCCCTTTCCTTTAGCTTGTTATCATGTCCTCTCCCTCCCCATCCCAGTTACTGTCCTTTCAAAAAAAGCCAAAAGAACTGTGGACACTGTAAATCAGAAACAAAAACAGAAGTTGCTGGTAAAAGCTCAGCAGGTCTGGCAGCATCTGTGAAGAAAAAATCAGAGTTAAAGTTTTGGGTCCGGTGACCCTTCCTCAGAGCTACTGTCCTTGCAAGTCTGGCAGGAGACACACTATTGTTCTGCCATTCTCACATTCTGATCACTAAATCTGAACTATCAACATCTCTTCTCCACCAGCACCCTGACCCACTACCGCTAACCCCCCCCCCTCCAAACTATAGCATGAATACTGTCCCTTCCAAGTTTCACTTCAGCTCTGATGAAGAGTCATCTAGTCTCAAAACATGAGTTTATTCTCTCTCCATGGATGGTGTCTGACCTTCTGTGATCCCCAGCATTTGTTGTTTTCAGTACAGATTCCAGCATCTGCAGTAATCTGTTCCCAGTACTGTCTTCAATTCCACCAAGAATAAAACAGTGAGACACAAGTGCAGGGCAAAAGAAGGAATAAATGCTTTCCTCTATTTGTTCAGAAAGATAATACATGAAAAGTTTTAAGAGCAAAATAGATGATTCCCATTTTCAGCAGTGTTAAGGACTACCAACAAATTTGGTAACTTAATGCAGTAAAATGCATTATTTGAATTATGTGACTTCGATTCACATTCATATTTAATTATTTCTGATTTTTGTTCCTTCAATTCTTCAGTTGAAATTTGATCTTTGTGTAAGCCTCCAAATGCGTTAACCTATATATAAGGATGACTTCTTGCAATACACATGAAAAATACAATGGGGTGAGGTTTTTGGGTTAAGTCTGAGTGGCGTGAAGTTTTTGGGAGGGTTTGTCACCATGAATCTAGTCGATTCCCTCAGCACATCTTACTAAACTCATCACAATAATATATAATTTGGATAGGCACAATTTGATTCGTGATAGTCAGCATGGATTTGTGAGGAGTAGATCATGCCTCACAAGCCTTATTGAATTCTTTGAAGAGGTGACCAAACACGTAGATGAAGGTAGAACAGTGGATGTGGTACACATGGATTTAAGTCAGGCGTTTGATAAGGTTCCCATGGTAGGCACATGCAGAAAGTAAGGAGGCATGGGATAGGGGGAAATGTGGCAGATTGGATTCAGAATTGGCTGACCCTTAGAAAACAAAGGGTGGTAGTGGACGGAAAATATTCAACATGGTGCTCAGTTACGAGGGGTGTACTACACGGATCTGTTCTGGGTCCTCTTCTATTTGTGATTTTTGTAAATGATTTGGATGTAGGAGTGGAAGGGTGGATTAGTAAGTTCGCGGACGGTACGAAGGCAGGTCGAGTTGTGGACAGTGCGGAGGGCTGTTCTAGATTACAAAGGGACATTGATAGGATGCAGAGCTGGGCTGAGAAGTGGCAGATGGAGTTTAACCCTGAAAAGTGTGAGGTGATTCATTTTGGAAGGACAAATTTGAAAGCAGAATACAGGGTTAATGGAAAGATTCTTGGCAGAGAGGAGGAGCAGAGGGATCTCGGAGTTCATGTCCACAGTACCCTGAAAGCTGCCACCCAGGTGGATAGAGTTAAGAAGGTGTATGGTGTGTTAGCTTTCATTAATAGAGGGATTGAGTTCAAGAGCCGTGAAGTTATGCTCCAGCTATACAAAAGCCTGGTTCGGCCACATCTGGAGTATTGTGTCCAGTTCTGGTCACCTCATTACAGGAAAGATGTGGAAGCATTGGAAAAGGTGTAGAGGGTGCAGAGATTTACCAGGACGCTGCCTGGAATGGAGGGAAGGTCTTACGAGGAAAGGCTGAGAGAGCTAGGGCTTTTCTCTTCAGAACAACGAAGGATGAGAGGTGACTTGATAGAGGTGTACAAAATGACCAGAGGTATAGATAGAGTGGACAGCCAGAGACTTTTTCATAGGGTAGTGGTAGCTATTATGAGGGGGCATAGTTTTAAAGTGAGTGGAGGTAGATATAGGGGAAACATCAGAGGTAGCTTCTTTACTCAGAGAGTGGTAGGGGCATGGAATGCATTTCCGGAGAGGGTAGTGGAGTCGGCCTCATTAGGGGCATTTAAGCGGCTATTAGATAGGCATATGGATGATAGTATAAGGTAGGGGTGGAGGTTAGATAGTCCTTAGGTTTATGGTAAAAGTTCGGCACAACATCGTAGGCCGAAGGGCCTATACTGTGCTGTACTGTTCTATGTTCTATGTTCTGATAACTACCTATTATGTCCTTATGGAATCTCTCATATGCGATTTTTGCCCCATCTTAGCACATGCTGTTCCCACAACAATTCACCACTCAACCAATATTGCATAATTTTCCAACATCTCCTGAACCCAGCGCCACCTTCAAAAACTTGTGTGCACTGAGACAAGCCCTAGTATGTGGGCAAGGTCCTGAAGGTCCTGTTGGATGGAGGTGGTGCAGAGGTGGGGCATCCTCTTTCCTTAGGATCAGACAGAGGACACAACACCAGACCTTGCCAGCTGGGTGAGGGGTTTTTGTGATCTTCAGTCATCTGGAGGAAAGCACAGCACTGTAGGAAACAGGTCAATGTCCTTCTCTTTATGCTTTCCTTGTACTGATGAGATTTTTTTTTTTACTTTTCTCTTCTGTCTCCATTTCAAGTACTGGGTGAGGTGTGACTAACCTTGGGCCAAATATGACACCTTTTACACTCAGCCAGGTTATCTTGACTTCTTCACTTGCCATGAAAATTTGTAAGATTTTAATTGATATGGACACTGCACAATGGTTTCTGCTCACCTGCTATTGAAATGTCTATTTATGCTTTTCTTACCTGAATCTCAAATATTCCAATACACTCCTAGTTCATCTCAAAAGCATCTACTCTCTGTAAACTTCAACTCATTCAAAACTCCTATCTGAAGCCTAAATCATACCTAGTCCCAATCATCCATCATCCTTGTGTTCATCAACCTATATTGTGTACCTCTCTAATCATGCCT